TTGTCAGGGCATGTCTTAATTTCACCCTAATATTTGAGGGGCAGTTTGGCAGGATATATAATTCTTGGTTGGCAATTATTTTCCTTAAAGGTTTTGTATATGCCATCCAATTGCCTTCTTGCCTGTATGGTTTCTGCTAAGAAATTAGAACTTAATTTTATTGGTTGCCTGTTATAGGTAACATTTCACTTTTCCTGAGCTGCTCCCAAGATTCTTTCTTTGTCTTTGGTTTTGGAAAGTTTGATTATGATATGTCTTGGTAACTTTCTCTCGGGATCTATTCTGTGTGGGGTTCGTTCAGCTTCTTGGATGAATATCTTTTCTTCCTTCATGATATGGAGGAAATTTTCTGTTCTCAAGGCTTTGACAATTATCTGCTTTTTTTTTTTTTCTTCCTCTTCTTCTGGGATTCCAATCATGAGTATGTTATTTTTTTTTTTCCATGTCATCCCATACAACTCTTAGGTTTTCTTCATTTTTCTTAAATCTTTGTTCTGATTTTTCCTCATACAAGCTGGCATCAAGGGATTTGTCTTCTAGCTGGGAAATGTGCTGTTCAGCCAGTTCTAGTCTACTCTTTTGTCTTTCTAATGTGTTACCTATCTCTGTAATTTTAGTGTTCATCTTCTGGAGTTCTAATTGTTATTTTTGTATGATTTTTAATTGTGTATTTGTCATTTTGCTCTTCAATGATTTCCCTGAATTCTTCAAGAGTATTGTCTGTCTTCTCATTACTTCTTTTTATGGTTTCCTTGAGCTCTTGGAGGGTCTTATACATACATATGTTTTGAATTCCTTATCAGATAGTTCTATTACTTTGGGGAGATTTCCTAATTCTTTAGTTTGGACACTTATCTTCTTCTTATTATTTTTTGAAGTTGTCATTTTCTAGACATTTTTAAATTATTGTCTTTATTTGTTAGTTATGTACTGATTTGTTTCACCCAGGTTTTATATTTTACTTTGTTTTAATATATCTGGAAGTGTGGAGCAGGTATACTTCTTTGGTTGTTAGCTTGGCTGTGCTGGGTCGCTCTCCAGCTTCCTCTGTGTTGGTGGGTCACTGGTGGGGATGTGGGTATAGGTCTCTGTTCATCATGGAGAGGAGTTGCAGTTGGGATGAGCAGGTGTTGTCCATCTGTCTTTGATCCTGAAGTGTAGGAGCTATTGGTGTTATCTTTTGGGTGAGGTGGTCAGTGTAGTAGCTATGGCTGACTTAAACAAAACAAAACAAAACTCACTGCTATTGCATCAATTCCAATTCATAGCGACCCTCTTTGGGTTTCTGAGGGGGTTAATTTTTATCGAAGTAGATTGCTCAGTCTTCCTTCCATGGAGTGGCTGGTGGGTTTGAGCCATCAACCTTCTGTTTAGCAGTCAAATGCCTTAGGCACTATGCCACCAGAGAGTTAATATGTTCCTCTCTTTTGATGAGGCAGGGGATCGGGGGAAGCCAAGGAGAAGAAGGAGAGATGAAATGATAGAATAAAAAAAGATGTTAAGTAATAGGGAAGAAAGAAAAAGAAAGAAAACAAAAGTGCATGGGTGAAAGCGATGAAGGTTTAGTAAAATGAAAGAAGACAAAGATGTAAAGTGGTAAATGATTGATAGAAAGGAAAAAAAAATGGGTAAGATGAAAATTAAAAAATGAAGTAAGGATAAGGTATTTTAGGAGGGATTTTTCTAGTTATGTTCAGTCAGCGGCCCTGGGAGCTGGCTGTTGTGACAGAATCTGCTCATTCACTGGAGTACCTGTGTAGGAGAAAGGAGATTGATGCAAGAAGTGACCTCCAGGGGAGAAAGTTAAAGCTTGTTTTTTTGTTCTTAGTGTGAGATGGTTCAGTCAGTGACACAGAGTGGAGAAGGACAGCTGCAGCCTTTCGCTCTGTTTGGATCAGTTTGCAGATGGTAGCATTTAGCCCTCAATCAAAGCCCTGCAGTTCAAACCCATCAGCTGCCCAGTAGGAGAAAGGACATCTCTTCTCCCTGTAGATCCACAAGGCCTGAAATCTCAGGCTTCAGTTCCACTCTGTGCTAAAAATGGTTGCTAAGAGTTGGACTTATGCCCACTACTGTGGGTCTCATTTGAGGTTTTGTTTATTCACAGAGAGTTTCTCTTCCCTTTCCCTTACTCTCTTAGGGTCACTGCGGCAGCTTAAGCTATGGGAGGCCTGATACATTTCCCAGCATGATCTTCACCCACAGGCACAGTTTTAGTTCACCTTGAAATTCTCCTGATCTATTATGTGTCTTTAAGGCCTATGGGTTCCATGAAGTTTTTTCTTTTTTTCCTCCTCCTCAACCTCCTTTGTGTTTCTAATGCTCCTTTAGCTGGGCGGATTTTTCATGTTTCCCAGTCACTTAACCTGCTCCCTTTCCCCGTCTTCACTGGATCTAATATTTATCTTGTCATTAGATACTTGTAACTTTAGGATCACTATTAGTATCTGTTTTACTGAGTTTCTCAAAATCTCTGTTGACAGAGAGATCTGGCACATGGTCTGTTAGTAGGACACCATCTTAACCCTCTCCCTCCATAGTGTTTTCAATGACTGATTTTCTGGAAGTAGATCTGCAGACTTTTCTTCTGAGGTATCTCTGGGTGGACTCATACCTCCAACCTTTTGGTTAGCAGTTGAGTACATTAACCATTTGCACTATGCAAACCAGCTGTCTTGTCAATTCCAACTCATGGTGACCTCATGTTTATCAGTAGAATTATGTCCTATAGGATTTTCAATTGTTGACTTTTTTGGAGTATATCACTAGGCCTTTCTTCTGAGGTGCTGCTGGATGGACTTGATTCTCCAACTTTTTGGTTAGTAGCTGAGTGCTTAATGCTTTGCACCACTCAGGGACTCCTACAAAGATATAGATATTTCTTTAAATCTTGCTCCAATTGTCTCATGTTTTCCAAATATGGTGCTCTTTAATGCTATAACAAAAATTGACAATTTCAGGCTTGGCTATTTTGGTAAGAAGGCACACACACACACACACACACATATATATTTTTTCCTCATAAGACAATTTAAGTGGAAAATTTATAGTTTTGATGAGATTAAAATATACATCTTGTCTGGATCAAAAGCCAGGTAGGTGATCAGAGGCCTTAAAGCTCACCTGATAGGGATGGAGGGTACTGCCTACTTACTCACACCCCCTCTAGCAGGTAGTCCAAAAAAATTCCCTTGAGTGGTAAAGTTGCAAACTTAAGTACACATAAAGAAAAGAAAAATCAAAAACAATACTTCTAAAATTCTTCCTTTTCCTAAGCAATCATAAAGGGCAAGTTAGAGACTCAGGCCTTTCAACAGGTCCATGTCAAAGTCTGTCTGAAAACCAAACCATGTTTCAGAGTAGCTAAGGGCAGCCTTTTCGTTCATTTAAATTGGGCTGAATACTTTCTTATTCAAAATAATTCCAACTGTTTGGCAATAAAAAGAAACTTTAAAAATATTTTCCACACTGGAGAGTGTCTTGGACTAAGCTTTTTTTGAGTTTTCTGAAATACTTGTGATTAAGGACCTGAGTGAAGCTTGTCCTTTATTCAGTGACTTTTTTGTTTCATAGACCAAAAATCCAAATCATTAATGTAAAGTGGGCCTGTGACGATGATATCATCCAAGATAAAATATTTCCAGGATCATTCTTCAAAGTTAAAATGTAAGGCTTAATCGACCTCTTTCCAAAATGCTTTATGGCATGAGATTTGTAGCTTTGACTTGCACACTAAAGACTCTCCCTCCCAGCATCAGGCTTTTGCAATATACAATGATTGCCACAGAGTTAAAGGAAAATCTGGAAGCGACCTTCCCAAATACATCATACGTATGGGTGAAAGGATTTAAAAATAAATAAATAAAGAGAATATGATTAGCCATTGAAAGTTTTTAAAGCTAGGTTACGAGCACACGGAGGTTCACTATACTAGTATTTATTTCTGTTTGAAATATTTTATAACCAAACAAACAGAAAAACAAATAGATCACACAACAGTGCAAATAGTTCCAAAGGAAATATCAAAAGGTGTATCTATATCTATATAGATGTGTATATAAAAGCAAAAAAAAGACAACCCTATGTGTGCAGAATAGAACTGTGCTACACAGGATTTTCAAAGGCTGCACAGATCACCAGATCTTTCTTCCAAGGCACCTCTGAAAGGATTCAAACTTTTTTTTTTCCCCTAAAGCAGGTATCAACATTTTATTCCATCTCTTATTGAAATTAAAAAAAATCTCATTAAATCTTTTTTTTTTTTTTTGGCAGGGGCGGGGTACATTTCATTATGCTTAAGGTGAAAACTTACATAACAAAATTAGCTTTCCATTCAATAGCTCATATACAAATTGTTCCGTGACATTGGTTGTGATTTCTGCAATGTGTTGTACTCTCCCCATTTATAGCCTGGGTTCTCCATTTCCAGTTGTCTGATTCCCCTGCTCCTCCCTACCTTCTCATCTTTGCTTTTGAGCAGATGTTGCCTTTTTGGTCTCTTACAGTTGGTTGTTCTAAGAAGCACATTCCTTCTGGGTGTTGTTGTTTATTTTACAGGCCAGTCTATTATTTGGCAGAAAGGTGGTCTTCAGGAGTGGTTTCAGTTACAGGTTAGAAGGTTGTTTTAGGGCAATAGTCTTGGGGGTAACTCCAACCTTTCAGTTAGTAGTTGAGTGCTTAACTGTCCATGCCACCCAGGGATATAGATATGTGAGTTTTCACAGGAAATGAGGTCAAACTACTTTTCACTGTGATGTTAACATACTCATTTATCAAAAACAAGGGGGAAGTGTGTTGCTATCTCAAACAAAACCTAAGAATATGTAAGCTAGAAAGCAAGTTTGAGGTGATTTGGGGATCAGAAGGACTGTGATTCAAGGGAGTGTATTGGCAACTCACAAACACAATGAGGTGAAAGGTAATGTTGAGGCCCCTGTGAAGAGGGCCTCAAGGTCCTCCTGTTGGTGACTTCTCTACCAACAGGAAGCCCAGGTACCCACCTGTGACCACTCTGATGCCTCCCAGATGGACAGGCAGTCCTGGCCTTCGCAGCTCTGCACTGGTGTTGGCCGGGGGCCTGGGCAGTAGAGGGGCCGTGTGGCGACATGTGTGCCATTCTGCAGCTGGTACATGCAGGTCACCTCCCGGTGCTGGATGCCTTTCTCACAGGTTGCCGAGCAGGGGCTCCATGGCCCTGCTGCCCACCTGTCCAGAGGGAGGACAGACAGTGAGAGCACACTTGCATAGAGAGGCCAGCTTACCCTGAAGGCCTTCCAGATGGTCATAGACATAAGCCTATGGTGGCAGTGAGGAGACAGACTCAGGGACCTGTGCAATGTACTTTGGAAATAATTCCAGAGTCTTGAAGCAGAGGGTGTAGCTGGAGTGGTTACTTGGATCAATGGTCTACTTGGCAAAGAAACTCTTCTGTACAAAACACGCTTATAGTACACTGACTTATTGTCCCATTGGCCACTCCCTCCTGCAGTGGGACTACAGCGCTGGCCTGTTGTTACATGGCCTATCATGCATCCTGTGGGAGGGTGTCCACCCACTTTCATTGATGTTGTGCCTGGTCACATGGCATGATTTGCTCCACAGGTATGTGTGGATATGATTGTCATGCTTGTCATGTTCAAGTAGAAGCGCTACATGTGACTCTATGGTTTAGCCCTGACCCTCTGTTTCTACCCTCTGTCATGACAATGGCAGATCCCAGTACAGGGGACAACCTACAGCACGGGTTCTGGAATAATATGACACATGGAGCTCAATCAGGCATACCTACCCCAAAGCTGCCACAGCTTTCATGTACTATGAGACAGAAATGTTTTTATTTTGTTGTATATCATGGAGATATTGAAGTTGTTTGTTACTGCTGTAAAAGCTAACTAGTACAGCCTCTGACACAGGGTTGTCCTGTCACAGCTTGAACATACCACTCTGCTTTCCAAAGAGGGCAGACCTTGCTGGGTGGTGACTGTGATGCTTGCGTATGGCAACTTGGGGGTCCTGGGAAGCTTAGTTGTTGGAGTAATCAGCTTGAAAATGCTGCTCTAAAATATTGTTTCCCTGCCTAGATTTCAACAAACCCAATTCTGACAGGGTCTCTGGTGGCTTCAAGGTATTGGAAGGAAGCTGACAAATTTAGGAATCTTGACTTCTCAGGACACAAATGGAGCTTTGGGTACCCTTTTAAGAACAGAAAAAGACTTTTGCTTTGGTCTCTAGGTGAGCCAGCAAGCTCTGCCCTCTTTCTTGTCCTTGCTCAAATATTCCTTGCTCCCAGGAGCCTACCACTTAGCAAAGCAGCCCAACACATGGTTGGATAGCTCTGACAAACATTTGTTTCTTCCTTATCAGTCAAAATATCTCTAACTTCTACCTGAAACAGAAAGCTGATCATGCTACCTCCCTTTTTAAAAACATCTAGAGGGTTTTCTTGCTGACAGGGGCCTCTCTTCACCTCCATTTCAGCTTACTTGCTCATTCATCTGTCCATTCACTGTATACTTTTTTAGGGTTCATCATGTGCCAGGCACTGTTACTAGGTTCTGGTGATGAGGCAGTGAATGGAACTAACTCCCTGCTTTCTGGAGTTTATATTCTAATGGGGATAAACAGTAAGCCAAAGAACAATATAACATTGTATATAATGTTATATGTAAATTTAGAACATACCATCAGTAATAAGTGCTTTAGAGAAAAAGTAGAGCAGGGCAATGGGGCATTGGTGGTTAGTGACAGAATGTTTACTTTTCATGAGGGAGACCTGGATTTGATTCCCAGCCAATGCACCTGATGTGCAGCTATTAGCCATATGTCAATGGAGGCTTATATATTACTATGATACCAAACAGGTTTCAGTGGAGGTTCCAGACTAAGACAGATGAGGAAGAAAGGCTTGTCCATCTACTTCTAAAAACCAGCCAATGAAAACCATATGGGTCACAATGGTCTGATCATGTGGATGACACAGGACTGAGCAGTGTTTTGCCACATTGTGCATGGGGTTGCTATGAGTTGAGGGGTATCTCGATGGCAGTTAGCAACAACAATCAAGCAGGTTAAGGGAGAGAAAGGAGCAGTAAGCAACATGATAGGCCTCATTGATAGGTGTCATTTGAGCAGAGAATGGAAGGAAGTGGGGAGTGAGCCATACAGAGATCTTGGGAAAGAGCTTCAGGCAGAGAGCACAGCAGGTGCAAAGGCCCTGATGCAGGAGCATGCTGGCAGAGCTGGAGAGCAGAAAGGAAGTCAGGGTGGCTGGGGTGAAATGAATGAGCAGGAGGACTGGAGCAATGTCAGGGAAGAGGCTACTGCAATGGGTAGCCTTGCCATACATAATTTGGCCTTTAGTCCTGGTCCCTAAGATTCAATGACTGGGGGGCTGACCAGGTGGCTGAAGGTCACACAAAAGGCAGCATATGTGCATCCTAAACTCCCAGCCAATCCTGTATTAATTTATTAATAATTAATAATCCTTTATTAGTTTTCCCTGGCAGTTCAAACCCACCAGCCACTCCTCGGAAGGAAGGTTGGGCAATCCTACTTCCATAGTGATACTGCCTCGGAAACCCAAGGAGGGGTCGCTATGAGTCGGGGCTGACTCAACGGCAAAACAACAACAACAACAACAACAACAATATAATAGATTACCACAAACATCACAAATTTATTTTCTTATAATTCTGGGGTTTAGAAGCCTACACAGGTCTTGCTGGGTTAAAAAAAAAAGCTGTCCTTTCTCCCTTCCTTCTATCTCTCCGCTCTGTGCTGAGTTCTGACATATAGACATGAATACAGCACAGTGGTCTGGGAGACAGACAGACAATCAGGAGATATGTGCGAGGCTCTCTGCTGAGGTGGAGATGAGCATGGGCTGCAGGAGCACTCAGAGGCTCATTGCTCACCTCATCTTGTGGTCAAGGGGTTTGGAGAGGAGCTGTCTGCCCCAAAGTCTGCAAGCACGAGCAGGGGATGTTCGGGAATTAGTGAGCCCACTCCAGGCTTTCATTCAGTGGCTATTCATCATTCTAATACTTGATGGATTGAAAAACTGGCAAAAGGAGTGATGGTTAGAAACAGGTAGGAAAGAGATGGAAGAGAAAAAAGAAGTGTTTCCTAAGTCTCAGGTAGGTAAGACTCAAGAGAAGAAGCTGATCTTCAGTTTGTGCCAGTACCTGGTCCCTGCTGAGAATCTGTATGTTGAAGCCTAAAGTATGTGATAAGCATCTACAAGATAATCTTCATGCCATGTACACAGACACTTCGCAATTTGTGTTTGCTATTTTTTTCAAGTCAGCTTCTTGCTCCTGATTTTGACAAATACATCAGGACATGGTAGGAAGAAAATGATTTTCTTGAAACTTTCTTTCTTTCTTTTGGCTCATAGAAACCATTTCACCTGAATAACTATGGCTTCAGGAGATCTTGTTTACCATACTTGAACCACGCTGTACAACTGAACGGTAGAGTAAAACATCATTAATTCTAAATCTAGTAATTTGGGAGAGGAACTACAGTTACATGAAACTATTTATATTACAATTACAACTAGCCTTATTTTTTTCACTTGTGTTCCCTAAAATCTTAACAGCAACTTTATTAGTAAAGTTTAAGTTAGCATACCTTGAGCAATACAACTGTAATCTTTAGAAAGTCACAGTTAACACTTTCGTAATTTCCTCTGAGGGAGGAATTTTCTTTTTGTCCAGCACAGACTCAGCTCCTCTGCATGTAGTTCAAGTTAAATATTTCTTAATGAGATACTTTGGGCAGCACAACCACTACAGGAGACACTATTAGTTTCCCATTATTGCTATAACAAATGACCACAAACACTGCAAATTCATTATGTTACAGTGTGGGTCAGAAACTTGACATAGGTCTCACTTGCCTGAAATTAAGGTATTAGCAGGGCTTTTGGAAGGTCTGGAGAAGAATCCATTTCCTTGCCTTCTAGAGACTTCCCACATTCCTTGGCTTGTGGCCCTCTCCTCCATCTTCAAAGCCAGGAATGGTGGGTTGAGTCCTACCCACATCACATCACTTCAACCTCCTCTTCTGCTTCCCTCTTCTACTTAAGGGCCCTTGTGATCACATTGGGCCTTCTCAGATAATCCAGGCAATCTCCATATGTTAAAGTCAGCTGCTACCTTAATTCCCCTTGGCCATGTAACCTATTTATAGGTTCCAGGAATTAGTATATGGACATTTTGGGGGGCCATTATTCTGCTGATCTCAGACCTCATCACATCTATAGTCCTAAACAATTTTAGCTTCTATCCAAAGTTCAGTTTCTATTCAGTTGCAACTTGGTTGAAGTTCAAACTTGGTAAAGATTTTGGGAGATCTGCTGAAATGTGCTGCAAAGAAACAATGGCATCATCAAGGTTATAGTTTTCTGGCACAGTTATTTTATGTTGAATATACAATGAGTCTCAAATGCAGATAACAGAAAACACTGGGAGATTATTTACTTTCAACATGTCTAAGTTGTAAGAAACAGTGTGAGATGTTGTATTTCAACACAACCTGAGCTAATGAGTGGTCTGTCCAAGAGGTAAAGCATCAACTTTAGCCATCCTCAAAATAGGTGAAAAGGAACGATCTGGCATTGAGTAAGCACCTACTCTATGCAATCTTGCTGCAAGGAATAGCCCCTAAACTACCTGCCATCAAGTTGATTCTGACTCATAGCGACCCCCTTTGGGTTTCCAATGTGGTAAATCTTTATGGAAGAAGATTGCAGTCTTCCTTCTGTGGAATAGCCCCTAGATTATCTAAATTAATCAAAATAAGGAAAGAAGATGCCTGACTATGATTCTCTAAGCACTTAGAGAGGCTGGCAAATCCAGGCACAGTACCAAATTGACCCACCCCATTGAATAGCTTTTGACTCATGGTGACCCCATGTATTATAGAGTAGGATTGTTCATAGGGCTTTCTTGGCTAATATCTATGGAAGCAGGAGCTCTGGTGGCATAGTGCCTAAGGAATTTGACTGCTAACCATAAGGCTGGCAGTTCAAACCCACCAGCCACTCCTTAGAAGGAAGGTTGCGTAATCTACTTCTATAGTGATACCTACCACCTTGGAAACCCAAGGAAGGGTTGCTATGAGTTGGATGCGACTCAACAGCAGTAAGTTTTGTTTTGTTTTATGTATGGAAGCAGATTGTATCAGGTTTTTCTCCCATGAAG